GCTGCATCCACTCCGGCGGCACGGCCACGGTAAGGCACCCCTGTGGAAATGATTGCAGTGAAGCACCAGGCCTCTCGCTGACTTGCACTTCTTATGGCACTCGGCGCAAACGTGTTCAGCAGCGGGCTGGCCGGCCAGGCGTGCTCCTGGAGCCGGCAGTAGCTCACCTGCCTTGTCCTCGTGCTGCCCGTGCTCTTGTAATCGACGACCCAGCTCCTTCCACCGCTGGCGGTCCCCAGCTACGAGCTGCACTGTGTTTTCGGACACGTCAGCGTCCAACTGCGTCACTCTCTCCACCAGTCCAGCCAAGTACCGGGCATACGTGAGGCGCCCTGCGCCGCGCGCCTCCTTCCCCTCGCGTGGGATCCAACCGCGCAGCGCGACTCGATGGGCGCAGGTCGGGCTCATCCGAAGAATATGGCCGTACCAGTCCCAGGCCATGCGCTCCACGTCGCGTCGAAGCCGATGGACCCCCAGGCGCTCTCTCACTGCCTGCATGGACGTCTTGGCGCCCTGCATCCGTCGGAGGTTGGTGCGAGCAAGATAGCGCCAGCATCTGCCCACGAACATCTGCATCCTTCCGGAATCCCTGCTCGTGAAAGGACGGCCTTTCACAGAATATAGTAAAGTCGACTGCACTGTGGCCTTCACAATGTGCACCTAGTCACGGATCGGGAGCAAGCTGCCCTTCAGCCGGCCGCGCGCCACTGCCATGCTGAGGCTGCCCTGCTGAGACGCTGCTTCGTGTCAAAGCCGTTGTCCAAGCACGCGCCGAGAACTCGCATCTTGCCGCTCTCCGGGTCTCCGAAGATAATGGTCTCTCGTTTGTCCTCGTTCTCATTCTCACCGAAACGGCCCAGGCAGTCGACCACCGCCGTGTTCCCAGTCCGCTGAAGCTCCCTGCGCCTGCCCAGCAACGTCGTGTCATCGGCAAACTCAAGATCGTAAAAATGAAGAACGCGGGTGCCATGAGCTCGTAGTTTTTCGTGTTCTGGGGCCCGCAACCGGAGATCAGGCTTCCATGCCCATGGTATTCCCACCGGCGGTCCCTGTGCTGGCGAACTCTTCCTCGTCCTCCTCCTCGGTGTCCTCCTCGCCTCCGTGCGGTCTTCCCGCGCTTGGCGCATTGCCTCATCATGCGCGCAATTGAAGGCAACGGTCGATGTCGCACACCCTTCTCGCACGCCACGTTTCGGCACATATCCACTTGACATCTCTGCGCCCAGTCGCACCTGGTAGCCCGTCAAGTCACGCATGGCCTGCAAATTGCGGATCACGATCGGCCCCGAGCCGCGCTTCCGGAGAATGGTCCAAAGAGTCGGGCGTGAAGTGCGCGGATATGCTTTGACCAAGTCCAATGAGGTAGCTATGTAGTCGTCGCCCTCCTCGCTGCCTGGAGCCCGGTCCTTGCGGCGCAATTCCGCCGCCTGCTCGCGGATCCGCCCCGTAACCATGATGACGTCCTCCGTGGAACGACCACGCCGGAAGCCCCACTGGCGGTCGGAGAGCGCCGAGGCCGCCTCAGCCCATCGGTACAACCTCTTCATAACCAGCCGATCGTGAATCCGAGAGACGTAGCTGAGAAGTGTGACGCCGCGGTAGTTGTTCTTGTTCTGGGCCAGCTGCGCCGACCACCCCTTCTTTTTGTACAAGGGCACGGTCGCTCCCGACAGTACCTGCGACTCGCGCTGCCGCTCGTCCAAGGGAAGATGCCACAGTCGTCGCACGACGTCCCGCACAGCCCCCCACGTGCCGGCAGAAACACATCTGATATATTCCATGCGCGCCTGGTCACCGTCCGCCGCCGTGCACTTCACGCCCTTCATGACTACGTCGATTTCGTCATCGTCGGGCTCCTCGTCCATGGCTGCCGCTTCCGCCGGGTTGCCCCCCATAGGAACTCGTCTCATACTGGCTTCATCGGCGGGGCACTCGTCCTCCTGGATGGCCGCCAGGTGGTCCCGAAACGCCTCCGCCGTGAAGAACTCCCGCTTCTTGTTCCGCTTCGCACTCCGCAAGCCGAGCCGTCTCAGAAGGTGCCAAGTGGCCCAGGAGTCGTGTCTCTCAGCTGCTAGGCGGTGTTCTTCCAGAACGGCATTGTACCATTCCTTCTCCCACTGCCGCTCGGCGTGCTTAAGGTCGCGTCGAAGCCCCCGGTGCTTGATGCGGCGCCGCGCTGCTTCCTCCGCCGGGGCCGCACGCAGCCATCGCCAACTCGCTCTGAGCTCACGATTCTTCTGGCGGCGTTCCTCCGCATGTCTGCGCAGCCACGGCCTGGAGCTGAAGGGCGGCTCCCGGCCAACGATGCTCTCCGCCGTCTGCACTAGCATGTGTGAGATATCTTTCCACGCGGGATGTGCCTCCCGCTCCATGCACTCCTGAGTCGCGACCGTGAATTGATTCTGCAATGCCACTGCCGCCTCCGACTCACCTTGCATGCGCTCGACGGCCAACCTGGTATGAGTGTAGGGCCTGCGCTGGGGGACGCCCCCCAGTCCCTGGATGCGGGCAACCTTCGGCAACTGGTCTGTCCACAACTCCTCAGAGATGGTTCGAGCGCTGCGGACGGTCGCGCTGCGCTCTGATGCTCGACCCCAGAAGAAGTCCAACTCATACCAAACATGTGTGCGACCCCCAGTCCCTGGATGCGGGCGACCTTCGGCAACTGGTCTGTCCGCAACTCCTCAAAGATGGTTCGAACGCTGCGGACGGTCGCGCTGCGCTCTGATACTCGACCCAAGAAGAAGTCCAACTCATACCAAGCATGTGTGCGAGGATTCCGCCAGGTCCCTCGTCGTCGTTGCTGGAAGAACGTCGCCCAAAAGCAGAATCCCAATTCCTTCGCCCAAGCCTCGAGTCGAGGTAGGGCGGCGGAGCCTCGGCCCAACCCGAACGGTCCTGGCACCCTGTCCCCAGCCACGTCAAACACACCTTCATCTGGAATCTCGTCGGCGGCCCCGAGGTCCGCATTGAAGTCGCCACCGAGAACCAGCTTATGGGATGTGGGCACCCGCCGGAGATCCGAGGCCAGAGAGTCTAAGAAGCTCTCCCGTTCCGCTTGCAATCCCCAATGTGGAGCATACACTGCGTATAAGCAAAAACCGCCAACAAGAACTCTGGAACCCAACGGAGTGCGACAGCTACGACTTCCTTCATGTCTCCACTGCTTCGCCAAAGTGGGCGCCAACAGCACCCCCGTCCGACGGCCATGCACCAAGAGCCAGGAGTTCAAGTCCATCACGCTCGGGGCATCCGAGTGCAGGTCAGCCACCAATACAGCTTGCCACCGGCGCCGCTTCGCGACATCGATCAGGGACTCGAGCAGCTCAAGTCGCGGCCGTGCACGGGCATCGCCTGGACGTTCCACGTCGCAATGCTCACCGCGCCCTGGCCCTCATCCTGCTCCCGCTGGGCTCGATCAATACGTTGCTGCCGCATGATGCCCCTCCTCCTCATCCGCTTCCGGTGTTCTGGGACGGCGACCTGGCGGAGCCATCTCTGTCGGCCCCCAGGAGGGGATCGATCTTCTGCTCGTGCTCGTCGACCGTGCTCGCAAAGACGACGAAGCTTGGGAGGGGTATCGTCCAGCGAACTCGGAGTCCACCTTGCCTGCCTCGCTGCTCGCTGTCTGATCTGCTCCTCTCGCCACCATGATGTCCGCCCCCTCGAAGCCTGAGTAAGATTCGAATCCCGAACGGGTCGGCAAGCTCCGCCCGGGACCGTCGCCACTGCCCGTGACGCCGCGGCTGCATCCACGAATAATGCCAACACCGCGACCACCAACAGCGCCGCTCGCGCATGCCGTGGCCCCGAAAGACCACCGCTCAGCGAGGCTGAGCGCGGCTTTGTCGCTGCTCGCATCCCGAGGGACGCGGCGCGCTTCCACTGGGACCCCACGAGGAGGGTCGCACGAGACTCTGTCCCAGTCAGGGTGATCGTCTTGCCTGTCAGCGTCTTCACGAAGATCTGCATGCCGCCGCGCAGGCGCAGCGCCAGGTGAAGCGTCGACTCCTTCTGGATGTTGTATATATACCGCCCGCGACGCCCAGACCTGGGCTAGGGGCGCTCCTCCGGGAGAAAAAAAGAAAAAGGAGGGGAGGAAGGAACACGAGGAGGAGCATTACAAACCTAAGAAGAAACTAGTACTGGCACGTCCAATCGATCCCTGGACGAGTCTGCGAAAATGCGATGGCCACGGCGCTCCGGGGGCCTAGGGCCGAGCGCCCGTGCACGCCACAACGGCCGCGTGCAATCCTGAGGACAAAACTTCAGCTACCAAGAGGGGGGCCTCTTGCAGACGCAATAAAAACAAGTTGTTTTGAGTTCGTGGTCGGCTGCGAACGAGAAACATGCAAAACTCTGCAGAAGAACGCTGGGAATGGTGGCCGGAGCCACGGTATTGGCCCCCTGGTGGACGACCCGGGAGAGCAACAGCAGCAGGAGGCACGAGGAGGGGACACCCGAACCCAGGACGAACCCAGGGGACGGGGGAGGAGGGGAAGAGAGGGCGAGAGCAGCGGGAAGGGCAGAGCAAGAGAAAGACCCCAGGCGACAGCCCGGAGGACGACGCAGCAACAGCAGCAGGAGGACGACGCAGGACGGCGGAGGAGAGGGGGGAGGACGACACCGCCATATGGGGACGCGTGCAATTAAGACTGATCCAATCACACACATTCACATGCTGACCAATCGCACAACGACATTCACATGCTCTCTGGCCGTGCCGGAAACTAGTGCAGGCGCGCAATTAAGACTGATCCAATCACACACAGAACATTCACATGCAAACCGGCCGTGCCGGAAACTAGTGCAGGCGTGCAATTAAGACTGATCCAATCACAGACGTATTCACATGCATGCTCTGTCGGCGCTGTGATCACTCAGCCGCCGCCAGTGCGGCCAGCGCGGCCCGGGCCGCCCTGGCGGCTCGCCGGCCTCGCCTGCTGCTTCTTCTGGGCGCCCGGGACTGGCAGGCCCGCAGCAGCGGCAGCCTCCTTGGCCAGCTTCCCTGGCCTCCCGGAAGCAGCGTGGAAGCAGAGCTCGCCGTAGCTGAAGGGCTGGAGGTCGAAGCCGAACACCTGGGCGCACTTCGCCGCGGCATCCGTGAACCGGAAGTCCAGCGTGCACCTCCAGACCTTCTGCTGCTTCTTGGTGCCGTTCAGGTTGACCTCCTCCTCCACGGGCTCGTCCCCGTGCATCCAGACGCCCTGCAGCGTCGCCACAGCGTCCACGGCGAACGCCCCGGCCACGCCCTCCCGCGCCAAAGCGGACTTGCCCGCCTCTGCGGCCGCGTCAGCACGCTTCTTGAGCTCTGCCAACACCAGGTTCCGCAACGTCACCTTCCACGCGCCAGCCTGCCGGTTGGCTGCCGCAGCTGCGTTGTCCGCAGCCGCGCTGGCGTCCAGGTCGCGAAAGACGCGCCGGGACTTCGCCGAACCCCTGGCGCTCGCCTGGCCCTCGTCCGCGCTCACGAAAGCCTCGTCCTCCCCCGACCGCTCCACCCGCTGCAATTCCTTCTTCTCCTTGTGCGCCGCGAACGCACCGGTCACTGCAGCCAGGAGAGCGCCACGGAAGGGAGAGCGCCACAGGTCAGAGCATGATTGTCGTTGTATGCTGGGCAGGAGGACCACCGCGGCGACCAGCGCCACCACGGCGACCAGCACCACCACGGCGACCAGCACCACCACGACCAGCACCACCACGGCGACCGGCACCACCACAGCGACCAGCACCACCACAGCGACCAGCACCACCACGACCAGCACCACCACGACCAGGAGGACTACCACGACCAGCACCACCACGGCGACCAGCACCACCACGGCGACCAGCACCACCACAGCGACCAGCACCACCACGACCAGCACCACCACGACCAGGAGGACCACCACGACCAGCACCACTACGGCGACCAGCACCACCACGGCGACCAGCACCACGACTACGCACCACCACAGCGAAGTGCACCACCACGGCGACCAGCACCACCACGACCAGCACCACCACGGCGACCGGCACCACCACAGCGACCAGCACCACCACGACCACCACGACCAGGAGGACTACCACGACCAGCACCACCACGGCGACCAGCACCACCACGGCGACCAGCACCACCACAGCGACCAGCACCACCACGACCAGCACCACCACGACCAGGAGGACCACCACGACCAGCACCACTACGGCGACCAGCACCACCACGGACCAGCACCACCACGGCGACCAGCACCACCACAGCGACCAGCACCACCACGACCACCACCACCACGACCAGGAGGACCACCACGACCAGCACCACTACGGCGACCAGCACCACCACGGCGACCAGCACCACGACTACGCACCACACAGCGGCGAGCACCACCACGGCGACCAGCACCACCACGACCAGCACCACCACGGCGACCGGCACCACCACAGCGACCAGCACCACCACGACCAGCACCACCACGACCAGGAGGACTACCACGACCAGCACCACCACGGCGACCAGCACCACCACGGCGACCAGCACCACCACATGCGACCAGCACCACCACGACCAGCACCACCACGACCAGGAGGACCACCACGAGCGACCAGCACCACCACGGCGACCAGCACCACGACTACGCACCACCACAGCGACGAGCACCACCACCACCCGAGGCTGAGTCTGAGCGTTGTATCTCGAGACTGGTCAGTAGCCCGTCCTCCCACATTCGCTCATCATGATGTATGTTGTTGTGTACTACGGCACCGTGCATCCGTCATGTGGGGGGAAGGGCCTACGGACATCTTTGTTGTGTTGCTTGTACATGCGTGTGTGGGTGCATGGATGGACGTGCATCTGGCCGCACAGGGTTCGAGGGCCTCTGCTTCTGCGTGTGTTTGCAGCACAACACTGACCAGTCCTGCCGCCATGCCCCTGTCCATGGCCGATGTGGAGCGCCGCCTCGCCGCCCTGGAGGAGGGACAGAAGAAGACGACCGCTCTGGCGCTCGCCACCGACAGGGACCTCCAGCGCGAGCGCGCTCGTCACCAGGTCATCGTGCACTTCTGGATGTTGTAATCCGAGAGCGTGCGCCCGTCCTCCAGCTGCTTGCCGGCGAAGATCAAGCGCTGCTGATCAGGAGGGATGACCTCCTTATCCTGGATCTTTGCTTTCACATTATCGATTGTGTCGCTGGCCTCCACATCCAGGGTGATCGTCTTGCCTGTCAGCGTCTTCACGAAAATCTGCATGATGCTTGATATCGAATTGGACCTGGGCACGAGGTGGACTAATCCGCTCCAAATCTTGCACCCCCTCGAGCCAAAATGGCTACGGAGTGCCCCGAGACGGTTTCAGACGGCGTCCGACGGGCCAGGACCGTCCTCAGACTGCCAAAGAGCCTCCCACGGAGCCTCCAAACACACCAAAGAGGCCCAAGGAAACCCCCAAGACATCTCCCAGGGCGCCCAAAGAGAGCCGCAAGAGGCTCCCAACAGGCCTCCTCCTCCTCCTCCTCCTCCTCCTCCTCCTCCTCCTCCTTCTCCTATTACACGTCCTCCTCATCACCATCATCATCATCATCATCATCAGCATCATCATCAGTATCATCATCATCATCAGCATCATCCTCGTCAGCTTCATCATCATCATCACCACCACCATCATCATCAGCATCAGCCTCATCATCATCAACATCATCAGTATCAGCATCACCATCATCATCACCATGGTCAGCATCGTCATCATCGGCATCGCCCAAACCACCATCATCATCATACTCATCATCATCATCATCAGCACCATCATCAGCATCATCGTCAGCATCATCATCATCCGCATCAATATCAACATCATCAGCTGCATTATCACCATCAGCTTCATCATCACCACCACCACCACCATCATCCGCATCATTATCAAGAGCATCACCATCACCATGGCCAGCATCAGCATCCACATCATCAGCATCATCATCACCACACTCATCATATGCATCATCAACAGCATCACCACAAAGATAAATCTCATCAGCCGCATCACCAGCCGCATCATCAGAAACATCATCATCATCATCAACAGCATCAGCATCATCATCGTAAGTATCATAGTCATCACGATCATCATCAACAGCATCGTCCGCATCAGCATCATCACCATCATCGTTATCACCACCAGCCTCATCATCATCACCACCACCACCATCACCATCATTATCGTCATCATGAGCATCAACAGCATCATCAGCTTCATCGTCATCATCACCGCTATCATCAGCACAATCATCATCAACAATCACCATCACCATAATCATTTGCATCACCATCAGCAGCAGCAACATTATCGTCAGCCTCAGCATCCTCAGCAACATAATCAGTATCAGCATCACCAGCATCATCAGCAACATCATCATCGCTATCACCAGCATCAGCATCATCACCATCACTATCATCATCATCAACACCATCACCATCAACATCGTCATCCGCACCATCACAATCATCACCAGCATCATCAACATCATCACCATCATCATCATCACCAGCACCCTCAACATCGTGTTAATGTTTATTTGTTCTTTCTCTGTTCCCCGAAGGGTTTCAACATCCGCTTGGGGAGCACATCGTCCGCTAGCTTCGCCGAGCTCTGGCCGCAAAGTTCGGCCACAGACGCGCTTCCAAAAGGCAGGAAGCGGCGGCGGTTCGCCGACGGCGTGCTCGATCCGCTGCCCCATTTGCGCGTCGATAGCTGCTGGGGCTGGCGTGGTCAATGTGTCGTTGCGTTGAATGGATGTCTTGTTGTTCTGGATCAGCACTAGGTCGGGCAAATCCTCCTACAGGCGGGCGTTGAACGAGAATTATGCTAATGGAGTTCCCCACCTAAAGATATGAACGGTTCCGTGGGACCCATGGGGTACGACAACATCAACACGAAAGAAAAGCTTATCGAACGAGTAAGTACGCACGAATAGGACAGACGAGCGAAAGGAGGAGGGAGGACAGGTGCTCAGGAAACGAAGCCTTGTAAAAAACACGGTTCCTTGATACCCCCTCGCTCTGGCGGGGCCCCGCTGGAAGGGGGGAGGGCTACGAAACCTGGTCAAGAGCAATGCTTTCCGCGACCCTCCTCGTTCAAGCGCGGCCTCTCTGGAAGAGTGGAAGGGGGGGGCGCGAATGCGCGTAAACTGGATTGTTTTCCGATACCCCCCAGGAGGAGGAGGGGGAGGAGGAGGGGGGGGGAACAGGATAGGATGGATGGTGATGAAGAGCAGCAGCAGCAGGAACCGCAGCAGGAGCAGCAGCGGGGGGATGGCCAGGAGCATGATCATGAAAAGGAGGAGGGTCGGTCGGGCGGGCGGGCGAGTCGCCCAGGCGCCCAAGGTCCGATTCGTGAGGTTGGTCTGGGTGGTATCTTTGTCCTCGTCCTTCCTTCTCCTCTTCCTCCTCTGTCTTCGCCCTCGTCGGTGTCGTAGTCGTCGTCGGCAGCGTCGGCGTCGCCGTCTTTCTCAGGCGGGTCCTAAAAGGCGGGCCCTGAAGTATGGATTACCATCGCTTCGGCACGCATGTACCCCTCCTCCTCCTCATCCACCTCCCCCTTATCTTCCTTCGCTTGTTCTTCCTCTGCCTCTCCTTTCTCCTCCCCCTCCTCCTCATCCCGCGAAATCCTGAGAAAGAGTGACCGGGGCAGGCTTGTGCCAAATGGCGTCGGCAACTAGTCACCACCAGCACGTTCTGCTACCCTTGCCGCAGCACGTGCGAACGCCCCCGTACGGCCGAAAACGCAACAGGGAGATGGCAAATCACAACTCAGGAACTAGTCAGGGTTGTGCAAGTCGGTGAACGACACGAACTAGCAACCTCCTCGCTCAGACGGGGCCTCCCTGGAGGGGTGGGAGGGGCACGAAACCATGTAAATGGCATGGGTTTCCGATACCCTCCTCGCTCAGGCGGGGCCTCCCTGGAGGGGTGGGCCACTCAGGATGTGGGGAAGCACGAAACCATGTACATAGTATGGGTTTCCGATACCCTCCTCGCTCAGACGGGGCCTCCCTGGAGGGGTTGGAGGGGCACGAAACCATGCAGATAGTACGGGTTTCCGATGCCCTCCTCGCTCAGGCGGGGCCTCCCTGAAGAGGTGGGAAGGGCACGAAACCATGTAAATAGTATGGGTTTCCGATACCCTCCTCGCTGAGGCGGGGCCTCCCTGAAGAGGTGGGAAGGGCACGAAACCATGTAACTAGTATGGTTTTCCGATACCCTCCTCGCTCAGGCGGGGCCTCCATGGAGAGGTGGGAAGGGCACGAAACCATGTAAACAATATGGTTTTCCGATACCCTCCTCGCTCAGGCGGGGCCTCCCTGGAGGGGTGGGAGGGGCACGAAACCATGAAAATAGTATGGTTTTCCGAAACCCTCCTCGCTCAGGCGGGGCCTCCATGGAGAGGTGGGAAGGGCACGAAACCATGTAAATAGTATGGTTTTCCGATACCCTCCTCGCTCAGGCGGGGCCTCCCTGGAGGGGTGGAAATTGTATTGATATGGGAGGCGGGAGGCGGGAGGGAGAAGGAGAGGATGTCTTGGGAAAACAAGAACTCTACTCAGGATGTGGGGAAATAGAAAATAGCCAAATGATATTCAACAATGATCGAACATAGTCGAAAACTTATCCCCAGACTATGTTGTAACTATTTTTATTTTTTCCTGTAGAGGTACAGGCCCGACTCAAGATCAGCAGCACCTTGCAGTCGCTTGCGTCCGACCGCTGCTGTGCCGGGATCGCGCGCAGCCTCGTTCAACAGCTGCGGCCACGGCTGCTGGTACCCAGCCTCGGCTCTGGGCTGCTGCGCTGGAACGCCAGCTGCTTGGAGCCGCGCAGAGAGCAGTCCGGCGATGGTCCGCCTCACCCGCCTCACCTCCCTCCTCCTACATCTGCCCACCCATCGTCCTCTGAAATAAATCTCGGGCAATTGCCCGTGACCCCCGAGAACAATGCCAGGCCTTTTCCGTCTGCGGTGCACTGCCGTCTCCCCTTGCTGAGGGTAGCTCGCCGTGCTGCAGTACTGCATGCCAGTGCTTGTGACCCCACGGATAGACCTGATGTTGCTCATTCTGTCGGGTTGCGGGGCGGGTGGCCCGATGACGTCACACCGTGGTATCCCGTCGGCATCCCAATGCTAATCCGTCGGTGCCCCTATGGTGTCCCCTTTGTGTCCCCATGGTGGCTTCCGATGTACAGGATGAGAAGGGTGCTAATTGTGCGAAGACCTCGCCGCGCGCAGAACAGTTGCTTGCTCGTCTTCGTTGACTGGGGCAGAACGCGCGTTTCCATCTGCCTTCTACGCTGGGGGGACATCCTGGCCCGGACCCACCACCGCTCTTGCCGACCTACCATGCAACATGGAACTGACCCCCAAGGAACCCCGAGAGCGCCATCGTGTTGGCTCTTGGCCTCTGATGGGCTCGGGCGTCGGGAACACAAGGGCGTGAACGCCTCGTTGCCGGAGATCTGCTGACCCGGGTCAATCCAGACCCGGGTCAATCAGGCCTTGCAGAATCCTTCAAGATCCTGCAAGATCCTGCACCCAAACCCGGGTTAATGCGAAGGATACTGCAAGATCCTGCAGGATCCTGCACCCAAGCACGGGTCTTTGCGGCCCTGGCCTCTGCAGGACCCTGCAAGATCGTGCTCACTAGCTGACCCCCGTTTGCATTGACCCCCGTGTCTGGAGCCCCGACGTTGACGCTCTCGCCGAGCTCGGGCTGCTGCTAACCAGAGAACCTCGCGTGGGCAGACAGGCGACGTAGGGAAACGAACTCTATATACACCGACGCTTTTCCCGACCCTGCGCTGAAATTCGCACAGGAGCTCGGATTCTGGTGTATACGGGATCCTGGTGTATACATGTTTCGAGGTTTCCCTTTCGGGGATGGACAGACCTCCCTTTAGTAAAACGTGGTTTAGTGAAAACGACTTCGGGCCCAAACCTGGCGGGCGCAAGCCTGGAAAATAACGGCCACGGCGCCCTCTCGAAAACCGAAAACGGACAATTCACTAATTAATCAACGTGTCACTGTTGGGGGTTCTGTCCACCCCCGACCCTTGAAAAACGGAGGAAAAGTATACACCACACCACCCCGACGTCGTCCCTGACCCTTAAAAATCGTGGGATTGAAAAACAACCCGACACTGGTGATGTATATGTTCCAGTTTGCGACGACGTGCACCTCGCAGAGTTTGGGCGTGGCTTAATGGGGGGGTCACAAATGGGGGGGTCAAAAAAGGTTCCCTTTCGTGCCCCTTTCGGGCCCCTCCAGAGCCCCAGGGGGCTCGTTTAGGTACCATTTGGGTACCTTTTCGGACCACACTCGCCGCCCCCCCATTTACGATCCCCCCATGACGCAGCGCCCAAAGAGTGGCCGGCGAGGACCCCCGGCCAGCCGACACGCCGCGCCGACGGGCGGCAGCGCCACCGGCATCGGCACCTCGGGGCTGCGCCGCGCCGCCGGCGCGGGCGGCGGGTTCGCGAGGGCGCCTCCCCTGCCTCTCCTCCCCGAGTCGCGGGGCGCGCAGGGAAGGAAGCACGGAGGCAAGGGGAGGGGGACGCAGGGGAGGAGCGGGGGGAGGGGGCGCACGGTCGGAATAAGGGGAGGGAAGCCCGGGGAGGGCGGGGGGAGCACGGAGGAGAAGGCACCGAGGCCCGGGAAGAATGGGGGGGCACCGGGGCAACGGGAGAGGGGCGCAGAGGAGGGGCGGGGGGAGGGCGCACGGTCGGAATAAGGGGAGGGGGCCTCCGGGAAGATGCCCCCGCCCCTGCCGTGGTGCAGGCATGTCCAGCTGTGAGAGCCAGTGCTGCGGATGGCCTCGGCATCCTCGCAGTCTCTGGTCGGCGTCGTCGCGATTCGATGGACGATCTGGGCGGGCGGACCTGCGAAATCGGGCAACCTTCTGTGCGAACCCTACCGCGGCGGGTCGACTCGTTCAAAGCACATGCGGGGGCGTTGACTGAGGCATGCTTGCTGCTGACTGAACTCATGCGGGAGCGTTGGATGTCGGAGACCCCAAAAATCTAGCCTGGACCTGTAGAGGTGAAGTTTCCATGAGGCGCCCTTCCAGCGACACTGGGCTTCGTGCCAGCGCAGCGCGGGGAGTTCCGTCTGCTCGACCCCCCTGACAAGGAGGGCCAGCTATGGTCTTGCTTGCCACAACGCTCAACCCGCCTCGTGGGGACGATCCTCGCCGACGGCACAGCCCTCCTCGGCGAACTCGGCATCAGTATCTTGCGCTGTGTCTCTGGGGGAAATTTGCCTGCGAGGGCCTTTCGTCGGGAGAGGCGCCCTCTGCTCATGACTTGTATACTCCTGCCAAGCTTGTAGACTCGCAGAAGTAACAACGCCGCCACAGGGCGCGCCAGCCTCTCCAACGACACACTTGGGCGAAGCGAGCGAGGAGCACGAACGGAGAGGACAGCCAGCGCGTACATCCGAGCGGCCTCAAGGTACACCAACATAACCAAAAACCCAATGCGACAGTCAGGACATGACAAAACACTGAGACGGATTATATACAACGTCATTTATGTCCAGAATGGCATTCCGACGTGTTGGCAGACATTGGACGAGCCTTCTGCGAGGAGCTGCCAGGGACATTAAGCAGCAGCCAGCTCCAATGCATACATAGCACGGTCGCTTGAGAAAGACAATGGAGGTGAGATACACTGTTCCAGCACTTCGACCCAACATCAACAGCATGAGCAATTCGGGCCGATGTCTGTTGAATGACGCGGGCAATCCGAGACTGAAGTATCTCTCGCTCGAAGCCGACACGGTGAAGCGACAGGGGCGGTCGCCACCACCTCCTCTCGAGCAGCCCAGGAGAGAGGTTCTCGAGCAGAGCGAAGACAAGAAGAACGTTGCAGAGACGGCTGCGGCTGAGACAAAAGTGGTGCGGTGCTGACCCCCACCGATGCCCTTCGGGCTCTCGGACCACCGCTCGCAGACCTGCGACCTCCCATCCAATCCCCTCCCTCCCCCCCATGTCACGCCTCACCGAGGGCGGAGGGCGGAGGGGGGGGGGTGGATTGGCCCGTGCAGCGACGGTCCCTCGAAAGCTTGGGTCGCTGAGGGATGCTCGGGGGGGATCATGGAGCGTCCGGAGAGCGCCCGGCGAGGCGCAGCAAGCGTGACGGGTGCCAGGGCGAACCCGGGATCCGCCGACTCGGGCCGCGCCCCCCGTCCCAACCCTCTCTTCCTCGTCGCCGCTCTCCTCTTCCCCCGCTCGCCCCGTCCTCCCTCTCCGCTTCTCGAGGGCGCGCAAGCATGGATTGGCGATCCGTGGATTTGGCGCGCGGTCGCCAGATCCATGGATCGGGGGAGGTGCCCTCCCCAGAATGCGGCCCGTGCCGCCTCGCTCGGCGGCGTAGATCCGCGATTTCCCATGGAAACGGGACCCGCCGCTGATCCGCGCCCCCTTGATCCATGATTGCGATCGCCTGACACTTCTTCCTCTCTCGAGCAGGGACCGACCGTCCCGGTATTTCTGAAGGCCTACCACGAAATGTTCTTAGAACATGGCCCGATGTGTTAAAACAAGACAGTCCCAGCCAGACCTGTTCTAATTCTAAGAACATTTCGTGCAGGCCACACGAGGCCCTCAAAACACTTGTTGGTGGGCCTAAGAGGCGAACCAGGACGCCCCGCCACTGCCTGACCCTCTCTCCCCAGCCCTGCAGGCCCAGCTCGACGTCCCCCCCGGGGAGTGGAGAGCGCCGCGGGTTTCGATTCCTCCGATCCGATTCGATTCGACTTCGATGGACTCCGATTCCGATTCGATTCGATTTCGGATTCCGATTTGGGGTCCGATTTCTTATTGGAGGCATACTAGCCTGCCGATTTCCGCCGATTCGACTTTTCCCATTTCGGCTGCCGATTTCCGCCGATCCGACTCATGTCGCTTGCCGATCCGATTTATCGATTCGATTCTGGGCCTGCGCGGGCGGCCGCCGCCCCCCGCCCCTCCGGGCTGCTGGCGCGACGGGTTCCGCCGCCCGGGGTGCGAGGGCCCCGCGCCGCCGCAGGGCGCGGCGAAGAGGGCGGGCGCGTCGTCCTGGCGCGCACGGGCCAGCGCGACCCTCCCCGCGTTCCCCTCGTCGCCTGTCGCTGGCTACAGCCAGACCAAGGATAGAAGAACACCCCTCAAGAACATGACACCCTACGCCGTCCAAAATGAAGAATATTCGAGGGTGCCCTCCGCAAAGATGCATAAGAACATCTGCCAAACACGAAAAACATTAAGGTACCCTCCCCGAGCCGACCTCGGTCTTATACCTCGGTCCGCCCGTGCTCCTCCTGCTGTACGGCAGGTTCGTGCCGTGCCGACCCCGGCGTTGGTTTTTGACACCGCAGGGATCGTTCAACCTTGAACGATCGGCCGCTGCCGCTACGTCCGATCGTTCAACGTCGATCGATTCTGGGTCGCCGGCGGCGTTCAAAATTGAACGCCGCTGGCGGGGTCGCCGCCGGTCGACACGACGCGAACCTACCGTACCCGGTTCCAGGGTCAAGTCGCCCCCCTGCGTTTTTCACATGTTTCGGTTGCCTGTTCCTTTTCGTTTTTTGGGGGTCGGGGCGTTCGTTTTTTTTTGGGGGGGAATGTGGGGTGGGGTGGGCGGGGCTCGGTCTGAATCGTTTGCGGCTCCGTTTGCGTACGGGTTTCTCGTGCGCCTGTGGGGCATGGCCAGCAGTGCGTCTGGGGCCTTGAGAGAGTGGGGAGGCGCCGATTGGTCACGATTTCGATTGAGCGACCCCTCGCACAGTCAGACGCGTGACCAGGGGGGTGGTTTGAAACCTTGGGGGGGGGGGGCGGAAAATATAAGAAAAAAACGTTGAACTTCCAACGTGTTATATATAGATACATATATATACGTATATATATATATATGTATGTATGCCCCCCCCCCCCCCCCAAACACCACACTCCATTCGTCCCCGTTGCCCCGTCCCCTCCTCCCCCCTCCTCCCCCAGTCCCCCCTTTCAGTCGCATTGCATAGACGTCGCATGCACTGCGTTGCAATCGCATTGCAACAGCCGCCTTATTGCACACTCCCTATTTCACTGTATTCCAATCGCATTGCGTTGCAATCGGGTTGCATTGCGTTGCAATCGGATTGCGTTGCATTGTACTGCAAATCGAATTCATCGCATGTGCCGCTTCGACATTGCAAATTACATTGCGATCGGATTGTATTGCTATGCCGGTGCGTACGGGTTCGGTGGCTGGTGCAGGGATTGGGGACGGATGGTCTTACATGGGAAGAAGAAGGAGGAGGAGGCGGAGGAGGAGGAGGAAGGCCCCCGAAGGCTTCAAGCATCCTTGCCTCTGCGGGTCCACGTGCAGCACCGTAGGGCACCAGAGCCGTCCTCTGCGGCCTTGAAGGGCCCCGAAGGCTTCAAGCGTCCTAGCCTGTGCGGGTCCACGTGCAGCACCGTAGGGCACCAGAGCCGTCCTCTGCGGCCTTGCGTCCTTGCCGACAGATAAAATAGGGAAGACAGCATGTGGGACCCCGAATACTCCACACCATCCTCCACCTCCCGCAGCCATTTTGGCCCGTGTTCCTATCGCTATCACTTTTACTGCTCAGCCGGCATATCGCGCGGGCTCGGCCGTGCATTGTGGACGCGACCACCGGGCACAGATATGGTTATGAGTGCGCCAATCCAGAGCGCCGGTGGGGGACAACAGGAACGGCCACCTTGGTGAAGGAGCCCCACGTGCGGTGCTTGTTGTGCCAACCAGCTGATGAGGTAGCGGGGCGGCGATCCCGCGGTCAGCGCGGGGCCCTCGTCAGAGTTCTTAGCAAACAAACGGTGGGCGAGAGGGAGGCCTGGCTGGCCCAGCTGGGCCCCGACACGGCGGAGGAGATCCGAGCTGCTGTCGGGGACGCCCGTCCTTGAGCTGCTCCCGTGGCTTCTGGTGCAGGTGCAGCCGCCGTGCATCTTCCTGCTGGAGGCCCTCTTGCTGGTGCAGGTGCAGCCGCCGCACATCCTCGTGCTGGAGGCCCTCCTGCTGGCCCTCCTGCTGGTGCAGGAGCTCGCCAGCGCATTCGTTTTTTTGCGCGCTTTCGCTTGCGCAGAACAAAAGTCAACAGGTATGGTGCTTCTGCCGACTCAGAGCTTCCATCGTTCTCCCTTGCCCCATCGTCCCCCGCCAAGTCCGCAGCCGCTGCCGTCACGTCGCCAGCCTGCAGCCGTTTTTTGCCCGAGTATTTCGGTCGCACACCGCCGCTCGGCATCGCCTGCTCATCTCCTCCCCGGGGCCATGGTGCGGGGCGACCAGTCTGCGGGCGTTGCTGCGCGGCACAAGGACCTGCGGGATTTCAAGCTCGCTCTGGACAGGGTGGCCTTCGTGAACAGGGCGCAATTTCTCCGGACCGTGAAATATGCTAGGATCGAAGACACCAGTCCATATCCGAATGTACCTTCAACTCGCGCACTGGTGTTCGCGCAGCACTTCGGCCTCGTTGAGAAAGAGTACTCCTGTTCGTGCTGCGGAGCAGATTACAGCATCTGTTACAAGAACAACCACGGCGTCCCTGGCTGGCGGTGGAGGGGCCCCCGTTACGACGACTCGTGCGCGGAATGCCAGGGCAAGGAGAAGCGCGTCGGCGCGGCGGGTTTCTTTGATGGTGCAGACGGAGCCAGCTGGATGGGCAAACTGGACGTCATGGTAACGTGTGTGCTCGGTTACGAGTACGGCAAGATAGAGGAAGAGGAGAGAGAGAGAGAGACGGAGCGCACCTCCCACAAGACCATCGATCGCTGGATCGACGACTTCCAGAAGGCCGCCTGCAATCACGTGGACGACTACCCCGTGGCCTTCGAGGCAAAGGTCCGCGGGCGGGCCGCGGCCGCGAAGAAGGGGGGCCGCGGGTCAAGGAAGCCCCCCATGAAGCGGCCCATGAAGAAGAAGGCCCCGATGAAGTCAAAGTTCGGGAAGCAGGCTCAAAGGAACGCGGCGCGCAAGAAGCGGGCGATCATGGCCGATGAGACGTTTCTCGACAAGGGGAAGAGGAGCAAACTCAACAAGAACGCTCGGCCAAAAAAGAATCAGGTCTTGCTGTGGGGGGGGCCGTGCTACAAGGAGACCCGGAAGCCTTTATCTTCCGCGTGCTGGACCATCCCGAGAACGCCCTGGACGGCCGCCCCCGCGGCGCGAAGGAGATGGCTATGAACCTCAAGCCGATCGGGCTCAGGAAGGACGACATTTTCGTGAGCGATAAGTGGGGGGGCACCGTGGCGGCCGTGAAGAAGATCCGCACGGAGAATGGCTGGCCGCTCAACAAGCCCCCGCACGAGATCGTGAATCATAGGGAGGGGGAGATTGTCAACTCCAAGGGCTGCGCAACAATCAAGGAACACGGAGCCCCTCCCCGACGAAAAGGGTTCCTTCTTCAGGGCCCCGACCGTACAGCGTGCCCTCACATCTGGAGCACGCGCGGGAGCCCCGCGACCACTCCGCGGTGGTGTGCGGCAGGGGCGCCGGGAGTGCTCTCACATATCGCGCGCGCGCAGGGCGTGCACGCTGCCTCCGCATCTGGAGCCTGCGCGGGCGCCCCACGACCACGCCGCAGTGGTTCTGACAAGGAAGGCGAGGGTGCCTTCAGATTGCTTGCTGCGCTCAGGCCAGCCACCCCTGCTTAAAATCAAAAAAAAAACTTGACCTCCAGATCTCGAGCATACGTGGGCGCCCCGCGGCCACTGTGCAATCGTTTTTGATAAGGACGGTGGGGGTGTCCTCATATAGCTTGCTAGGCGCAGGCCAACCGTCCCTGTCTAAAATTCGCCGGCCCAACGGGCCAGAGGCGTGCTAAGATCTCCGGTAACTGGTTAACAATTCTCTAGTTCGCGCGCGCGGGGCGGCCCCTGGGGGTCCCCGGACGAAAAGTACCCCGGGCGGGTCCCGGCTGATCCCCGGGCGACTCCACCAGAGCGCTCCATGAGCGCACCAACAGGGCTCCGAGACGTCCCCGAGAGCCCAAAGAACGGCCAAGAGGCCCCCAAGAGGCCCCCAAGATGGTACACGAGGGGTCCGACATGCCACAAGATCGCTCCAAGACGCCCAAGATAGCCCCCAGACGCCCCAAGAGGCCTCCAAGGTCCACAATTCTGCCAAGATGCTTTCGAAGACGGCCCAATTTCCCATCATTGCTTTTCCTTAGGTTTTTGAAAGATTTTGGAGCTTCCACCTTTTCGGCTTCCCGACGCCCCAAGACGGCCCAAGAGGCCCCCAAGATCGCCCCAAGAGGGCCCAAGAGGCCCCCAAGAGGGCCCCAAGATGGCCCAAGAGGGCTCGAAGACGGCCCAAGAAGCCTCCAAGACGGTCCAAAAGGGCCCCAAGAACGCCCCCAAAGGGGCCCCAGAGAGGGAACACGAAACAACATTTCGAGCCCTCGGCCCTAAGAAGCCCCCACGAGGCCCCAAGAGGCCCCTAAGAGGCCCCAAGAGGCCCCCACGAGGCCCTCAGGAGGCCCCCAAGAGTCCCCCAAGCGGCCCCAGGAGGCCCCCCAAATGCCCCCCCGAGCACGCAAGCAAGTGCAAGCGATGCTACAATGTGCTCTCCTTTCGGTAGACTCCCAACGGGGCCCCTACAGACTTGCAACAAGCGTCAAGAACCTGCCCAAAAAGCACTGTCCAGGAGCGTTCACAAGTGCCGCGAAGAAGCCCTCTTTAACGCCGGAAAGCCCGGAAAGCCGGGTAGGGTGAGCTGTTCTTCTCACCACCGCGCCCTCTCACACAATGGCTTCCGCACGCCGCCCAGAGCGCGACCTTCGGCTCATACCCCCAGAACGCTCCAGGAGCGCGCCAAAACGGCACCGGAACGTCCCCGAAACAATCCAAGCGGCCTCAAGTCGCCGAACAATCGTTCCAAATCGCCCAAGATGACCTCAAAATTGCCGTCGAGGCCGCCAAGAAGCCCCAAGAGAGCCTCAAGAGGCCCTCCAAGACGGCCATTACAATCAAAAATCGTCCCATTCCCAGAGGAACATGTACACTTCCCGCATGAACGGCGTTTCGAGTTTCACAACGACTCAGACTACGCAAATAGCCCCAAACATCGCCCCGAGACAGCCCAACAATCCGCTAAAATCGGCCCAAGACGGCCCAAGATAACCCCAAGACGGCACAAGAGAGCACCAAGACCGCCCAAGAGGCGTCCAAAGGGGGATTCTGCCCCTAGGAGCACCTCAGAAGCCACCAACATCCCGCCAATAAGTCCCCCAAGACGCCCCAAGAACCACCCAAGAAGCCCAACAAGAAGCCCCAACGACCCCCAAACGGCCCTTACGGGGCCTCAAGAGGCTTCAACACTGCCTCCAAGAGGTTCCCGAGACGCCTGGCAAAAGAACCCCCAAAGCGCCGCATTGACACCAGGCCCTCGGGCAAACGGCAGACATGAGACTGTATGGGCCGGCGGAATGAGCGAAGCGATTGAATATCAATACACATGCGCCTACATCTTGATCATGCGCGGGCGCCCCGCGACCGCTTTGCTGTGGTTTTAGGCAGGGGCGGCGAGGGTGTCCTCATACTGCTTACTACGCGCAGGCCAACCATCCCAGTTCTAAATATGAATACACTGTGCCTCTAAATCTTGATCATACGCGGGCGCCCCACGACCACTTTGCACGGCTTTTGACAGGGAGACTCGGGTGCTGCGTATGAGTTGGGAGGGCGGCTGGAACTGAGCAAGATGGCGTGCGCCTTGAGGGCAGGAAGTGTCTTGACCCCTCCCCCATACCACCCGCCCCCTTGGGCTTGGACGGGGGGGGCTGCAAGTGGTCAGAGCTTCCAGGATGGCCTCAGCGAGGGTGGACCCACCCAAAGGTCTACCTCGTGAGCCCTTTTCGCGATGCCTCGTCGTCGTTCTCCTCCTCCTTCGTCTCCTCGTCCGTTTCCTGCGTCATCCTCAATTCTCTCCCTCTCATGCGTCACCCCATCGTCCTCCCAGATCTACATCTTCGGCACAAATATTTCTTCGATGGGGGGTATGACAGAATCCGTGTGGGCGAATTACATAGATTTCCGATGTCGGCGCTGAAACCAACATAACACGAGGACAAACAAACCAACGAAACCAAAGATCAGCGGCCGAACAACCAAAAAAAAAAGACAACACAGAACAACACAAGAACAAAAACAACAAACAATTCAACACTTACTCCACCGTTCCACTGCTCTACCGCCCCCTCTCTCCTCGTTCCACCCCCCTCTTCCCCCCCCGTTCCCCCACCTTTCACTCCTCCTCCTCCTTCTCCCCCTCCCTCCCCATCCTCCTCGCGCCGCCGCACTCCTTCTCAAGGACGGGGGAGGAGGCAGGAGGGAGGAGGGCGCAGGAGGGAGGAGGAAAGGCGAGGCGGAGGAGGGGAGGGGGGGGGATGAGGATGAGGCTGATGAGGAGGATGATGAGGAGGGAGGAGGAGGAGGCGTAAGGAGTGAGGAATGAGCAGTGAGAAGCGAAAGGGATGGGAAGTGTGAAGTCCGTCCGCCGTCCGCTGATCTCCGTATGAGGCCGGAGGACGACGGAGGACGACGGACGGTGGAAGGACTCAGCACTCCTCCTCGCCCTTTGCTCCTCGCTCCTCACTCCTTATTCCTCACTCCTCAATCATCACTCATCACCCCTCCTCTTCCTCCTACTCCTCTACCCTCCACCCTCCTTCTCCGCATCCTCCTCCTCCCTCCTCACTCTTCACTCCTCACTCGTCGACGTCGTCCTCCTCCCCCTCCTCCTCCTCGCCTTTCCTCCTCCCTCCTGCTCCCTCCTCCCTCCTCCCTCTTCCATCCCCCACCATGAGGAGGAGAAGTGAGGCGTGCGGCGCGAGGAGGAGGAGGGGGAGGGGGGGTACAAGCTGGGTACGCTCGCGTCAGATCTGACGTCCTACCCCTCTCTCCAATCCCTTACCATGGCGTAGATCTCCTCTCCAGTCGCACAATCAGATGTCGCAGCATGGCATAGCATTACATGGCATAGCATGGTGTCAAAGATCAACGCGTAGCATGACATAGCATGGCGTGGCGACGCCCAAAGGTTTGGGGGGGGCCTCCTGGGGCCCCTGAGGGATCCCTACAGAACCTCATGGGACCCCTATGGAATCCCTACAGAACCTCATGTGACCCCTATGGAATCCGTACGGAACCTCATGGGGTCCCCTACGGAATCCAATACAGACCCGACCCGGTTGACCCTTGTCGGGCCCCGTTGTTCTGTTGTTCGTTGTTCGCCCCCCCCCCGGGTGCCTGGCAGCCGGCTTCATCATCAAGAACAGCAACAATCATTTTAAGAATGTTCGCTCCTACCTGCTCACGTGCCAATGAATATGTATATCCCAAACCCTCGGTACCCGCCCTCGACCTCGATCGTACCCCCTTTGGGGTATATCTTCCTTACCTGCCACGTACATTTAGTGCAGCCCCTTAAACAAGGGAAGATAGGACGGGTGGAAGGGGGAGGGAGAAGAATGGAGCGCGAGAGAAATTAGCAGGAGGGGGCAAGGAGCAGAAAACAAATTGTAGAACCAGACGGACCGATCGGGTGGGCAGACCCATAGCGGGCAGGTCGGGAAGACGGGCCCAGGCAACGAGGTCGAGCAGGCGGGTTGCTGACGCGTGGGTCCTGCACGAATCGCGAGGAGTTCTCGAGCGATAGCGCGATTCCCAAATGAATCGTAAGAAAAGCCAAAGCGAGAGTGTGATTCCTGAGCGCAAAGGGCGCATCGTCTGAATAAAATGCGAGGAAGTCCCACGCGAGAGCGCGATGCGTACATGAATTGTGAGGACGTCCCGCGCGAGAGCGCGATTTGGGAATAGATTATGAGGAAATGAGGCAATGTCAGGCGGGAGCCATTGTTGTTGTTGTTGTTGTTGTTGTTGTTGTTGTTGTTGTTGTTGTTGTTGTTGTTGTTGTTGTTGTTGTTGTTGTTGTTGTTAGACCAGGGGCCCAGTTTGAGCCTGGTGACTTTCCCTGGTAAAAAACAGGGTGCGAGCCCAACGGCAACAACAGCAGCAACAAAACAATCCTCGACCTGCCTTCGCGACCCAGGCATCTGGCCTCCTAGGACAGGTGGCCACCCAATCGCGACACGGACGCCAGAAACGGCCTGTTGTCGAGCCCGCCCCTGGGCCCTGAGAAGCCCCGTGACCCCTTCGAAGCCGACCTGGCGCCCTGTGAATTAGAAGGCCCCTTCCCCCTCCCGCTTTCTACTGCTCCCCGATCCCCCCTTCCCCCGGATGGCGGATCCGTGGACATGGCGACTGGGCGCCAGATCCACAGATCGAGCGAAGTACACGCCAAAACGCAAAGCCAATGCCGCCTCAGTTCGCGACGGAGCGCGTCGATCTTGCATAGAAGTGGGCACCGTCGCTAATCTGCACGCCTTCGTCCATGTCTGCGTTTCCTCCGCCATTTCCAAGCCCTCACCCCATGCACCCCCTGCCCCTGCCTCTCCACCCCCATTCCCCCGTCCCTCCGCCGCAGGCGCGGTGGACGCCCCTTGCTCAGCCGCCCCCCCGCCGCACACCCAACGTCGCGCGAGGCAGCTGGCCAGGGTCCTCGGGCTCCTGCTCTCGCAGCCACGCGGGCACCCTGGGGGGCGCAGGGCGCGCGCGCGGCATGCAAGCGCTCCCCCCCCCCTCCTCCTCCCCATTCCCCCGTCTCTTCCCCCGTCCCCCTCCCCCTCCACTCGTCGGGAACACGCCCCTGCCCCTGCCCATCCCCCCCCCCCTACCACCACTACCTACCTCCACGCCTCCCGCCGCCACCCCACATCGGGAACACGCCCCGCGGATCCGCAGATCTGGCGCGCGGGCGCCAGGATCCACGCATCGAGGGCAGTACACCCCCCGAAGCAGGAGGCCAACGCCGCCGCAGTCGGCGACGGAGCGCATCGATCGCGTAAGGAAACGGGGCCCGTCGCCGATCCACGCGTTTCATGATGGGCATGTTTTCCACTACCACCACCACCACAAGTTGGAGGGGGTGAGGGTCCTCCTCCTCCTCCTCCTCCTCCTTCATCCTCCTCCTTCCCACCCTCCAACTTATGGTGGTGGTGGTGGTGGTGGTGGTGGAAAACAGGCCCATCATCTCAGTCCATGCTTGCGCTCCGCCGACGGGGGCACAGAGAGGGGGGGGGGGGCAGCTCGTAGAGCGGGCCGCTGGGGAGAGGGGGCCGTGGCACGCCGACCTAAGTCGGGGATGGACAGACCCCCCTTTAGTAAGACGTTTAGTGAAAACGACATGAGGCCCAAACCTGGCGGGCGCAAGCCTGGAAAATAACGGCCAAAGCGCCCTCTCGAGAACCGAAAACGGACAATTCACTAATCGACGTGTCACTGTTGGGGGTTCTGTCCACCCCCAACTAAGCCGCGGCACGGCGGCGGTGGCGGCACAGGTCGGCGCTCCGAGACTGCACAGGTCTGCGGCGTCCAAAGGGGGACTCGGACGTCGGTCCCGAGCCGCCCCCCCCCCTCGTGCCCGGACGCCGCCCCCCGCAGCCTCGCCGCGTCTCTCCGACGCCGCCCGTGCTGCCACCCAGGGCTCTGCCCATCACTTCCGTGCTCTCCCTGCCTGCCTGCCCAGCTCATCCTCGTCTTCCCACCTCCTCCTCCTCCTCTTCCCACCTCCTCTTCCCACCTCCTCCTCCTCCTCCTCTTCCCACCTCCTCCTCCTCCTCTTCCTCCTCATCCTCCTCATCCTCTTTCTCCTCCCTCACCCCTTTACAATGTTCCCCCTCCCGCCCCGTCGATCCCGCAACACTCCCATCCCCGTTCCTCCTTCTCTTCCTCCTACCCGCCATAGTATCAGCCTCGTCCTACTCACCCTGGTGCTCCTCCTCTCCTCATCCAATTCCGAAACAGCTGGCCCCATTTACTTTGTCCCTCTTCCAAAGGCTACATACAGGGTTTCAGTTTCAGACACGGCTACACATAACGCCAAGGCCAAAGCTAAAGGCCGAAACTCAAGCTGGAGATGGCAGCCAGCCATAAAGGCCAAAGCTGGAGCTAAAACTGCAGCGAGAGCCGAGCCAAGCCGACCTGAACCAGGCAGGCTGGCATCATATAAACTTAACACTAGGCTGTGATGAGATCATCCACCGTTGGAGGCAGAACATCCTAAATTCAAAATATGATTGAACGGGTCCAGAGGCTACAAGGACGGGGCTTCTCGCGAGGCTTCTGGAGTGCGCCGTATAGCTGTTCATTAGGTCACAGATTCCTACATGGGATGAACGAAGAGGGTCCCAAGCAAGCCCCAAGACCCGAGACACTCCATGCAGGCCCCGACACAGCCCAAGAGCACTCTAAAAAGGCGCAAGATGGCCTCAAGACGACCCAAGAGGCCCCCGAGACGCCCCACCAAGGCTCCACAAGCGGACCGCCAATGCTGGCCCAAGGTGCCCCGCCAAAAACAATGCCCATTTCTCTTGAACGATTTTGCGTGCTCGCCTCTTCGGTCTTCGCAGCTTGCAGCGCGAAGCCTCGTCCCGGATGGCGCAGAGGGTGCGGGCCCCAGGACTATGCACCACCACCACCACGTGGATTCCTCCTCTCCCACCTCTGCCCTCCTCCTCCTCCTCCTCCTCTCCTGGGAGAGGGAAGGGGTGGTGGTGGTGGTGGTGGTGGTGGTGGTGGTGGTGGTGGTGGTGGTGGTGGGTGGTGGTGGTTATGTTCTCGAAGGCAGTGATCAGGAGGAGAGCTCCGTGCGAGCCCTGTGCCCGTGCCCGCATGCACGGCGAGCGACGCCCCCCCCCCTGTCCGGCGCCATCCACGGACCACCGCAGAAGCAGCGCCCGCCGGCACCGCCTCGGTGCGCTGCCCTGCGCGACCAGAGATGGTGGGCTCGTTGTCCACCGCCACCGCCACAAGCAGGAGGGGGAGGGGGTCCTCCTCCTCCTCCTCCTCCTCCTCCTCCTCCTCCTATTCCTCCTCCTCCTCCTCCTCCTCCTCATCCTCCACCTCCTTCCCCCCTCCAACCTATGGTGGTGGTGGTGGAAAACAGGCCCATCAAGAAACCACTGCATGCATACATGACCTTGAAACCGTACAGCTCTCACTGCTTAAGAGAGTGGACAGCTAGAGCACGACCGAACAAAGTAATCGAGAGGGTGATGCATGGCACGCCCCCCCCCTCCATCCCGAGCCTGCTTGGCGCGAAGGGCCACTCCTCAGATCCACCAGTGCCTGAGAGGGCAGGAGGCGATCACGTATGGAGGAGGAATGGGATCAAAATAACGATGTGAGACATAGCCGAGCATAAACCAGACACACACACACAGAGAAGACGTCGGGAAAAACGGCCATGCCCGCTGGCATCGAGCATGGCAATTGCCAAGCATGTTCCCAGCACGCCCGTGTCACTGAAAGAACAAAACGAATCATCAACACGGGAAGCACAGTGGAAGCCGCGCGCTGCTGTTTAGTACGTCGTAGCAGCTCGTTGGTTCTGCCGTGCCGTATGATCACAGGCTCTGAAACATGCAACCAACCATGATCACAGGCTCCGAAACATGCAACCAAAGACATCAGCGACCAGCTGGTCCACTACAAAGTTATGACATCGAAATCGACCGTGGCCCTGATAGCACTACGATGCCAGGAATCGCGCTGTGCGTCAATGAACCAAGTGGGGAACTGTCCGACTCTAAGTTGTGTTCCTTCCGTCTCTGTGCCACTCGATCGCCAGATGCTTCCCTGGGGGCCCAACTCATTGCGCCAAAATGTCAATCATGAGGACGTACACCTTCATTGTCTGCCTGTTGCCGAGAATGATACTGGACCATGTCTCGCTCGCATATCCTCCCCACCTCATTCCGCCTTATGTCCCCGCCTGTACCTCCCCACCTCTTGGCCTCCCCCTGCAGGTCTACCCTCTCCAGCACCCACTTTTTTCGGCGGTGGACAAACCTCCTTTTAGTAAACCACCCTTCAGTGAAAACGGCCCAGGACCGAAACCGACGGACCTGGACCCGCAAAAATGATGGCCGCGACGCCTTCTCGCGAACCGAAAACGGGCAATTCGCTAATCGACGTGTCAGTGTAGGAGGTCTATCAACCTCCGATGTATCCTTCCAGCTCCCTCCTCTTTCCCACCCCGCTGACCTCCCTGCATTCTGTCCCCGTACGCCCGACACGCCAGGTGCCCTATGCAGTGGCGGAGGAGGGCAGAGGGACAGAGGCATCGACCTCGTCGCCGAGGGCCGAGTGCGGTGCCGAAGAAGCTTGCGGCTGCCCACCTCACCCCAAATCCAAGAGAAGGGGCGGAGAAGGGAACGGGAGCGATGATGATGACGACGACGATGATGAGGCTGATGCTGATGCTGCTGATGATGATGTTGATGATAATAACGATGATGCTGATGATGATGATGATGCTGATGCTGCTGCTGCTGCTGATGATGATGATGGTAATGATCATGATCATGATCATGTTCATGATCATGATGATGATGATGATGATGATGATGATGATGATGATGAGTATGATGATGATGATCATGATGCTGATGCTGCTGCTGATGATGCTGGTGATGATAATGATGATGCTGATGCTGATGATGATGATGCTGATGATGCTGATGCTGCTGCTGCTGCTGATGATGATGATGATGATGATGATGATGATGATGATGATGATGATGGGCAAGGCGGGGCTCACGGAGGCGAGGGGTCGTGGAGCGCCTGCGGACGGGTTGTGCCTCGCAGCGGCCACGGCAGCCCGCTTGGAGCCGCGTCGTCTTTTTGCCCTCGATTCCCCCACCCGCCGTCAAACATCTCCCGTCCTCCTCAGACCCTGCCCGCTTCCCTCCCCCACTCCTCTATTCTCCCCCCCTCCCTCTTGCGTCCATGCGCCCCCTCCGCTCTCCTCTTGGCATGCCGTCTGCCTCCTTCCCGTTCATCGCTCCGCCTCCACAGCTCCCATCTCAGCACCCGCCGGGCTCCGCCCATCCGCCCAAGCGCACCACAGCATGCAGCCACCACAAAAGGAGGTGCACGAGCCAAGGTCCCACGCGAGCGTCACGGAGGCGCTGACCAGGACTACCCAATGGCAAATGCACTGCACCACCATGTAGTGACCCACACGGGTATCAAGATGACATGCGTGGCAAAGTATGTGGGGTGGGCATTGGTACGTGCGTGGGTGGCATCGGCAATGAGGCATGGGAAGTGGTAGGGGAACGAAGAATGCCATTGACATACAAACGCGGAGGTCCGGGTGGATTTCTCGGATCTGCGCTGGACTCCCCTGGCGGCGCCTCCGGCGCCGCCCCTGGCGCGCGGAGCGCGCCAGGGAGGGAGGTCCAGCGCCGATCCGAGAAATCCGCGCGGACCTCCGAGTTTTCATGTATATGTCATTCTTCGTTCACCTAAATTGGCACTCGGGCCGGGCAAGGAGCGAGAAGGAAGCGGGAATCTCAGGTTCCTGCTCCACAGCGATGCTGCCCGCTGCTGGGCTCGGGCGGTCTCCAGACACCAGCTCGCCTCGGCAGACCGCGAGTGGAGCTACCGTCGGGGAGCTGACCTAAGGAATTCTAAATGAGGAACGAGGCTCCTTTTTCCAAAAAGTGCAAAATTCGATGTCCCATGGAAAATCTTAGGGAAACACCGAGCCCCTCCCCAACGAAAAGGGTTCCTTCTTCAGCGCCCCGACTGTATGAGCCAGAGGTACCAAGAGGAGCCAGAGAAGCGGGACCAGGACTTGAAAGGCAGCGGAGCTACTCATATCCTTGTAGGATTCACGAAGATGGTCCCAAGAGCCATGAGGCACGATCAACTGCTGGGCCCCCTCCTCTGGCAAGTCCACGCATGCCAATACCCCAACCATCATTTATATATCTCATGAGATTGGGCCACGCGAAGTCCCGCTCACCAGCGGAATCGCTTAACATTCCCGCGTCTAGAACCGATGTGCACGTTTATGGCAAAAGAACATGCGCGGGAGAAGACTCATGTCCCAAGAGCTACTGATGTAATGTCGTGCTGACCTGAAAAGATATAAGCTCGCTCCACCAACACTTCACAAAGAGTGGATTGTGGACCAGATGTCAAAAGCAACCGCGCGACAGCTCTCCCTGCGCAAGCCCCCCTTGAGGGAAGAAACAGTGAGGCACTTAGGGAACATGACACGTGTCGGGAGCACGCAAAAGACGTACGCGCCCACCCATGTACATTAGCACGGCCCCCGAACCCGCGAGACGGGCCGCGTGATACGAAGGTCCGCGCAGTGCGTACTCTCGAAACCATCGTGGACTTATGTACGCGTACGTCGCTCTCCCGCTCTTGCCTGTGTCGGCTACACGCAGGAGTGACCCTGCGTAGGAGTGACCTTTGGTGCGCTGCTTTTTGGGGGCCGCGGGGGGACCAAACCTGGGCGCACACACCGCTGCTCCTGCTTCGCTTACAGCCATCTGGGGACCCACTTGCGCCCGCACCAAAGGTCACTCCGGCGAAAGGTCACTCTTACTAGTCGACTGTGGCAGGGCGGCAGGTCTGCAGCCGGCACAGCAGACCAGGCCACGGTCTCTCCAAGGACGCCACGTGAGCTTCTGCCGCACGCCTCAGCGGGGCCCCCCCGCCCGCGGAGAGCTCTGGGACGCCCACCCCGACACGCCAGCTGCCTTTCGGTTGGCGGCGCGCAGAGGGGGGAAGGCTCCTCAGGAGGAGGCTGCTCCTGAGAGGGTGGTGGCCTCACGCCTGTGGTGAGGGCCCGCGCCTTCTGAGAAGCAGCTTGCAGATAAGGCCCGCGCCTGCTAAGAAGCAGCCTCCTTCTGAGAAGCCTTCCCCCCTCTCCCTACCCCCGTCTGCGCGTGGTCGATGCTGGGCAAAGCCACTCTGAACCTGAGCGGGAGAGTTCTGGATGGAGGCGCCACCCCCCGGTTGCTCTGTGCCGAAGCCCGATGCTTCCAAGATGGGTCCCTGAGACATGGGGCACCCGGGCGAGGAGGCATCGAAGAGCGCAAATTCCACCTGTTGTTCCCATCGTACTTGAGGACCACATCCCAGAAATAATTTCGAGCACCCAGAAAAGTGTCGAAAGAGTGTCGAAACAGTGTCGAAACGAGTGTCTCCCAGGGCCCGGCACGTGAAGGCCCTCGAGTCTGGGGGTACTTCTCTGGTGCTCCAAACTCTTTCTCGTGGTCAAGGCCAAAAGCAGGTTGGACAATCATAATGCTCAGGCTGGGTAGTCGAAGCCAATCTGGCGCCAATCTGGCAGGCCCAATCTGGCAAACGGGGGCAATCTGGCGAGGGAGCCAACGCGAATCCAGTCTGGCGAACAACCCAAATCCTCCAGTCTGGCCGGGCCAGATGGGCCCTTGGTGCCCAATTCAATCTGACAGTCTGGCCTTCGACTACCCAGCCATCAAGAGGTGGCGGAAGAATCTCGCCAGGGTCGCAAGCATCACGCGGGCCCTGCGGCCGCTGCGCCAGCACCCGAGCGAGGGCGAGAGGTCCTTCCAGCGAGGGCCCCGAGCTCGTCGCCGGGATCGCCACCAGGCAGCCAAACTTTCCGGCATCCTCCTGCCTCCTCCTGCCTCCTCCTGCTGCCTCCTGCCTCGATCCTGGAGGGGGAGGAGGAGGAGGAGGAGGAGGAGGAGGAGGAGGAGGAGGAGGAGGAGGAGGAGGAGGAGGAGGAGGAGGAGGAGGAGGAGGAGGAGGAGGAGGAGGAGGAGGAGGAGGAGGAGGAGGAGGAGGAGGAGGAGGAGGAGGAGGAGGAGGAGGAGGGGGGGGAGGAGGAGGACGAGAGGAGGAGGAGGGGAGGAGGAGGACGAGGAGGAGGAGGAGGAGGAGGAGAAGGAGGAGGAGGAGGCCCAGCCCCGAGGGCGAGGAGGAGGCGGAGGCGGAGGAGGAGGATGAGGAGGAGGAGGAGGAGGAGGAGGAGGAGGAGGAGGGGAGGAGGAGGAGGAGGAGGAGGACAATCCTTAGGCTCAGGGCCCCACCTCCGAACCGCCGAGTAGCGCGCCCCCACGCACCCGCGCCGCGGGCCCTCTGCCGGCAATCGCCCCGCCAGGGGCCCAGACGCCGCGGGGGCGCCGGGCGCACATGGGATCCGAGGCCCTCGGGGCTGGGCCTCCTCCTCCTCCTCCTCCTCCTCCTCCTCGTCCTCCTCCTCCTCCGCCTCCTCCTCCGCCTCCTCCTCGCCTCCTCCTCGTCCTCCTCCGCCTCCTCCTCCTCCTCCTCCTCCTCCTCCGCCGCCTCCTCCGCCTCCGCCTCCGCCTCCGCCTCCGCCTCCGCCTCCTCCTCGCCCTCGGGGCTGGGGGCGGAGGGGACGGCGAGGGTCATGCTGCTCCTATTCATACTCAAGGACCACATCGCAAAAATCATCTCGAGTGTCGAGAGAGTGTCGAAAGAGTGACGACAGAGTGTTTCCCAGGGCCCCGGCGCGGGAAAACCCTCGAGTTTTGGAGTGCTTTTCTGGTGCTCGAAATTCTTGCTGGTGGTCCAGACTAAAGTAGGTTGGAATATCCGCCGACCCCTTGGGTCATCGGCGTGTGAGATGCTTCCCCCTCCCCAAACCCCTCCCCCGGGAACCCGGTCCGGTCGATTTGGAGGGGGGGGGTGCCCACGACGAGCGACTCACGACGCTCTTCCGGGCCCAAAAGGGCACAAATACGGGCCAAGAAGGCCCCAAGAGGCCTCCCAGACGTTCCAAGAGGCCCCCAGACGCCCCAAGAGACCGCCTAGACGCCCTAAGAAGCGCCCAAGAGGCCCCAAGAGGCTTCCAAGACGCCCCACGAGGGCTCCAAGACGCCCAGAGAGACCTCCAAGACGCCCCAAGAGACCTCCAAAAGGCCCCGGGGAGCGCCCCAAGAGGCCAACATCGTTGATTTTCATTGGTTTTTTTTCCGATGTTTTCGTCATTTTCGCCCTTTCGGCCTTCCGACGCTCCAAGACAGCCCAAGAAGCTCCCAAGACTGCTCCAAGACGGCACAAGAGGCCTCCACGACGCCCCCAAGACGGCCCAAGAGAGCCCCCAGACGGTCCAACAGCCGCCCAAGGCGGCCCAAGAGAGCCCCCAGACGACCCAAGAGCCGCCCAAGACGGCCCAAAAACCTCCCGGAGACGGGCCCAAGAGGGGCTCCAGAGAGAGACCACGCACCGGAAAACCCAGCCTTACGCCCCAAGAGGCCCCCAGGAGGCCCCAAGAGGCCCCAAAGAGGCCCCAAGAACCCCCCAAAAAGCCCCCCAGACGTTCCAAGAGGCGCCCAAGACGCCACAGAGAGGCCCCAAAACGGCCCCCAAGAGCCTTCGAAACTGCTCCAAGAGGCCCGCAAGAAGCCCCCCCGCAAGATCCCATCGGACATCTCCGAACACACCGGTTTTTCGAGTCGCGCCCAGCCCCATAACCCGGAGCCTCATATCAGTGTCCCCCCCCTCCTCTTCCTCCTCCTCCTACACTTCCTCCTCGTTCCCCTCCTCCTCTTCCTGCCCCGCTTCAGCTCATCCTCACCGATGCTTCTCCCCCCCATTTTCCGCCTCACCCCCCATCCTCCTCTTCCCGTCCTCCCTTTTCTGCCCAGTACGCGCAACCGATTGGGCATCATTTGCACGTCTTGCACTTTAGGGTGCCCTTCTTTGCGTCGCGCGGGACATTGTGCGGGTCGGGGAACGCCGACTTTGGTAGTCCTCTCTTGCACGCGCCGCTGCACTGATAAGCCTGGCAACTGCGCGCTGTGAACCCGAGTTCCTCGCAGCTTCTGCACACCACTTTAGCTCCTTTCGCCGCTCGATGATGTTCCACTTGCTTCTGCTTCAAATGTTTCGTGTCCGAGAACGCGCCTTTGCACGCCGCGCACGTCAGCGGCTTCGCGTCCGCCTCGGCTTTCCGCTTGCGATTCTCTGCGTCCGCCTTCTCGTTCCGCCCACCCTTCTCGTTGCGGGCGCACGCCCTGCAAAGCCTCTCCCCCGCGTCTTTCGAGTCGTACTGGTTCGCCGCCACTTCCGCCTCCGTCGTCCAAGATTGCCTCAAAAAAAAAGGGGGTCGGCGGTGTGGCGTAAGCCTACAGAATCATAAGGCGAGGGGGGACGGGGAGAAGGAGGAGGGGCAGACCGGCGTCCGGAGCGAACGACAGCCTGTGTCGGCACCGTTTCCAGAGGAGGGCAGCAGTGGTCGGCTTTTGCAGGAACCGCCAGGCTGCCGTTCTGCGGGAAGGGCTGTGGGCTGCGAGACTGGATGGGCTCCGATGTGCCGGCAGGCCGATATCCGAGGGCAGGATCCGGGGGGCCCAGAGGCAGGGGGGTCGTCGTCGACGACGCCGACGTCGACGTCGACGTCGACGTCGACGTCGACGTCGTCGTCGTCGTCGTCGTCGTCGTCGTTGTCGTCGTCGTCGTCGTCGTCGTCGTCGTCGTCGTCGTCGTCGTCATGGTCGGCGCCGGCGCCGGCGCGCGCGGTCTCTGAGCGGCGCGCCTGTGCCCGGGCGCCTGCGCGAGCGGCGCCCGTCGGCGCCCTGGCCGCGCGCCGCGCGCGCGGGCGCTCCAAGGCGGCCTCGAGCGGCCCCGGAACCGCCCAGGGACGCCCCAGGAGAGGCCAGGAGCTTTCCAGAACCTTTTCGGGAATCGGATGACTGCTGCAGTCTCGCAGTGTCGCTTCCGAGGGGCTTCAGAGGCCTCAAGATGACTCCGAGACGGCCAAAGATAGCCCCATGAGGGACCTAGAAGGCTCCAAGACGCTGACCCCACTGAGTGGCCTCGTGGCGTCCCGCTGCGGGATCACACACACACACACACACACCCCAAGTTCGTGTGGCCATGATCCAAAAATGTCCGATGATAATCAAAAAATGAGGTGGGTATGTTTCAGGTCGGCGGGCGACATCTGTCCGCCTGTAGGAACGAAGATGCTGCTCCTCCAACCCTTCTCGCCGCGACAAAGTGGATCGGCTGCGACTGCAGATCGGCGACGGGCGGAACGGGGTGAAGACTGGGGCCGAGCTGGCGACGAGGGGGGCAGGTTGGGTTACTCTGGAATGGACCTTTTCCAATGTGGACCTCAACAACACCTCTTTGTCCGCTCGCGATCACATCTTGGCATTGGGAAATGACGCCTTGGATTCAGCCGCGGGAAAAGCGGCGGGGGAAGCCCTTGATGCCAGCGTCGTCCCGTCCACTGCCGCTCGAATTCGACGTCGGGTTCGGAGAGCCCTTGCTGAGGCTGCTGCCGCTGACCCCAGGAAGCCCAAAGAGGACTCTGACTCTGGGCCCATCGAGTGTGCCTCACCGAACGGGCCAAGGTAAGAGCGAGCCTCCCGTGCCAACACTGATTCATTTTCGCAGCGTGGAGCGCGTTGGCGTTGCCCCGGGTGCGGTCAGGTCACCTTCCGACTCCAGCTCGTTGATGCTTGCACTTCGGCGTCGGTTTCTTCGGGGTCCTGGCCGCTCGATGTCATCGCTCCGGTTCCTGGCCCAATGTCGGTCGGTGGGTGTCTGCTCCATCGGCCACACCCGCTGGATGAATTTCTGCCACGGCTGTAGCAGGACTGCCACTGTCGATGGCCGTCAGTTTCACTAATGAGCGCGTCGCCCCCATCCTGGGTAGTCGAAGCCAATCTGGCGCCAATCTGGCAGGCCCAGTCTGGCAAACGGGGGCAATCTGGCGAGGGAGCCAGCGCGAATCCAGTCTGGCGAACAACCCAAATCATCCAGTTTGGCCGGGCCAGATGGGCCCTTGGGGCCCACTCCAATCTGACAGTCTGGCCTTCGACTACCCAGCCATCAAGAGGTGGCGGAGGAACCTCGCCAGGGTCGCAGACATCACGCGGGCCCTGCGGCCGCCGCACCGGCACCCGAGCGAGGGCGAGAGGTCCTTCCAGCGAGGGCCCCGAGCTCGTCGCTGGGATCGCCACCAGGCAGCTAAGCTTTCTGCATCCTCCTGCCCCGTCTCCCCGTGCGCTCGGTGCTGCCGGAGACGTCCACGATGTCATCCCTGTCCTCGTTTCCCCTTGCTCCTCCCTCCGCCCCCTCCTCGCCCTCTTTTCCTCCTTCTCCCCCCCCCATCCCCCCTGACGGGCGACGAAAGAGGGGGGACTGGCTCAGGGGGGTGGGGGGGGAACGTCGAGCCGGATTCGACTATACATATACATATATATATATATATATATATATATATATATATATATATACATACACATTATATATATATATATATTATATATATATATACCCGATACATGGATTGGCGATAGGCCCCCGACACAGAGCCGCACGTACTTGGGCGTGGCTGGCCTGTCGGGCCCTTCTCCGCGATCCACTGGCGATTAGTGGTCGATCCATCCCCCCTGAGCCTTCCCCATCCCCCACCTCACCTTCCTCGGGGATCCACTGACCCGGGTCAATGCAAACCACCTGGGTCAGTCGGGCCTTGCAGGATCTTGCAAGGTCCTCCAGCATCGTGCAAGATCCTGCACGCAACCCCGGGTCAGTGCACCCCTGGCTTTGAAGGATCCTGCAAGATCTGGCGCTCTGGCTGACTCCCGTGGGCATTGACCCCCGTTTCTTGAGCCCCGACTTCCCTCTCCCCCCCTCCGCCCAGATTCGCCAGAATCTGGCAGAGGCTAAGGAGTGCAAGCGCAAACGCATTGCGCCCTGGCACTTCGAGGCAATTCTGTGGCCAGAGGGGTAATTCGTCCCGTGGGAGTTCCTTGTGGCCCCACTGTGCCATCAAAAGGCATAAGTCCTCAACCAACCGACCAGAGCACGACCCAGCGTCCCAGCCTTCGTCCGACCGGCCTTTTGGCGCTCCGCGCGGACTTCTTGGATCCGCGCTGGACCCCCCTCCCTGGCGCGCGGAGCGCGCCAGGGGCGGCGCCGGAGGCGCCGCCAGGTGGCCTGGGCGCAGATCCAAGAAACCCGCGCGGAGCGCCAAAAGTCTATCTTTATGTGGCTTATTATTATTATTATTATTATTATTATTCTTCTTCTTCTTCTTTTTCTTCTTCTTCTTCTATTATTATTGTTATTACTATTATTATTACTATTATTATTCTTACTATTATTATTATCCTCATCATTATTATTATTATTATTATTATTATTATTGTTATTATTGTTATTATTGTTGTTATTATTGTTATTATTATTATTATTACTATTATTATTATTAATATTATTATTATTACTATTATTCGACTCTCTCTCCCTCCCTCCGCCCGGCGGCCCCTCCGCCCGGCGGTAGGAGGCCCCCCCGTCCAAGTCCTTGTCGTCCGCGTCCCATCCGGACGCGGCGCTCGTCTCTGTGTGGTGGCGGCCGTCCTCGCGGGCAGGGGGCGCAGCCGAGCTCGGCTGGCGCCGGCCAACGCAGGAGGAGGAGGGAGGAGGAGGAGGAAGAGGAGGAGGAAGATGAGGAGGAGGAGCAGAAGGAGGAGGAGGAGGAGGAGGACGAGGAGGAGGAGGAGGAGGAAGAGGAGGAAGGGGGAGGAGCAGAGAACAAGGGAACGTCGCTAAATACATGAGCCCCCTCGTTTCTGGACTTGTTGTTCCCCTTGCTCCTCCTCCTCCTCCTCCACGAAAGTGGCGACAATTGCGCAGGCGGCAGCCACCAACGAAGCCGCGAGGTCTAGTCTGGGTGTGCGTAGGACGCAAGTGTGCTGGAACTTCCCTGGGTCGAAAGTGAGCCTGGTAGGTCAAATAGCATCCGTCTCCATGGGAGGCGGATGAGCTCACATTGCATCCAATTCCATGTCGAAGAGATACGATATGGGGGGTGGATGGGTAAGATAGGATAAGATCGATGTATCGGTCTTTCCAGCACATAGCGAACACTAAGGTAAGTGTCCGGGCGAATAGGGCGCGCGTGCCTTGAGCCAAAGGCAACGGCGCGCGAGCTATACTCCCGATACTATAACATCTCCCAAAGTGCTACCCTTAAAGTCGGGAGGGGAGGAGACGGAGAGTATAGCCGCGCACCCGCTAGGCTCTACAAAGGCAGCGCGCACGACTGTTTGCAAGAAAACAGTGTGTACAGTCTGGCCTGACACCAGACTGTAGGGCGAGTTTCCTCGCAAAACATTTCACGCAAATACGAGATAGCCCCTTCGGACGATGAAGGGCTATCGGCTCAGCTGGAGGTAAGCCAAACGGGCCATACCTCACCGAGCAAACAGGTATTGAGGCAAAGAGCCTAAATCATAAAAGCCGGCTCGTTGCCAGGCGTGAAACGCGAGGCTCGTTTCCGAGCACCTAGAAGGGCGCCTCTGTAGTAGGCGCCCATGCTGGCAAATTGGACCGCGGGGGGGCAACAAGGACAGACTAAAATTGATTAGACTTGGGTTTGTTTCTGTCCTCGGGACCCCGAAAGGGAACAAACTGCTTCACGTCATACTTGAATGACTGAGTGCCTGACATCACTTCCAAAAGCAGCTCCCGATCGATGCTTCCCTTTGTATGCCCATATGCGGTCATATCTCTAGTATCGCACCACTGCACGTTATGTACTATACCAATATCCATGAGCTCACGTATCCAGCTGATATGTCCAAGCAGAGTCCGTTCTGTCGGTATCTTAAGATCCTTGCTTGATAAGGATTTATAAACCGACTCAGCGTCTATGGTAAGAGATACTTTAATGGCTAGGCCTCCAACTTCGCGCATATCTCGTAGTTGTCGTGGAGTCAGAGCCCCTGCCTTGAGCTCGTGGAGAGTGATGAGCGTAGGGTAGCACTCATCGAGGTTATGCGCAGCTGCGAGTGCCTCCGCAGCATAGCTGGACCTCACCTGCAGTCGGTGTGATTTGCATAGTCCGTCACAGAGGTGAACGACGGATTTGCCTTGATGCGAGCTTCCTCGCCGTAGTACATTGGCCCTGCGTGTGCCGTAGCCCTTGGTCTCATCCCCCCCCTCCCCTGTGAGCTTCCGATGCCCCGAATCGCTGTGTATGTCAACTTCATTCGTCGGCTTCATCCGAGGGAAGGTGATGCGTTTCGGGCTGCTGATCAGCTTTCGCGTCACAGCATTCAGTCGTCTGACTTGCAGGTTGGTGGGCCCTTGGATTTTCTGGAGAGAGACCACGTATACCATGAGCCAGATTTGAGTAAGAAGGGCATAGGCGAGGGCTCCTCGCAAGCTGACGAACATGTCGGTAATGAGTTTCGTGGCTTTGGCATCGGCCACCGCTCCTGTAAGTTCTGGGTGTGTGATAGGACGTAGTTGTTTGATATACTCGTCCTGATCCATGATCACATCCCCTTGGTCATTCTTAGCGTAGCAAACGGCGCAGTTCGTATACGAGTGTTTGTTAAGCTTGCATTTGCCAAACACATGTTCGACACGTTGTACATAGTCGTCTATATTTTTCTCTAGGCCTGTCATATTAATATCATCTACATGTTTTGCCGTTAGCAAATCTTGGCTGAATTCAAATTCAGGATCATAAGTGGTCGGCGCAAGGCCTATAGCTCGCGTGGTCGTACGAAGTTTGAAGGAGAACGCTCTTGGGGCGTCCTTTGTACCCGCTCCTGGTTTGAGGCACCTGAGGCAGTGTCGGCTTTCGTCATCGGATGAAAAGCCGGGTAGTGTACGAAGTACCTGGGCACTTCCCGGTGGAAGGGTGAAGCAAACCATGCGAGTTTCCTTGCCGGTGGCATGGGCATGTTCCTCATAGGTCAGACCCTTGAGGAACGCCTTGTCGATATCCATGGATGCTAAGATCCACTCTGGATGGCATGCCGCCTCACTTGCCAGGGGTCTCTGGGACTGCCTTCGGGCGGTTCCCGAGAAAGTTTCCACGTCGAAAGCCTCAGTATCCATAAATCCACGAAGGACAAGTATGAGACGAATGGTTCTAACGTTCTCGGTACCCACCTTCACAAACTTCCACTTATATACATACCTGGATGTCAGGATGTTGGAAGCTTTGGATAAATCATACATCTCAAAGCATCGGTTATCAATCCAGACTTTGAGTTCAGTGTACAAAGTTTCACTAACCTCTTTTGGATGCGCTGATATGTCGGCTTTGGTGAGTAGGCCATCTTCTTTGACTACCACAGCACGTTTAGCAACAGAGGATACATATACTCTCATCGTTGCGACCATATCAGCGTCGAGCTGTGCAAGTTGAGTCTGATCCAACACTACCTTTGACATTTCTGATGTAAAACATAACTCAACATAGGGACCAGATTCATCACTGTCAAGAGAGTAGCTCTCATCAGTTGTGGTTGAGCAGAGAGAGACTAGACAGGGCTCTCGTGGTTCAGGCTCGTCTCCGAGCAGTTCCGGCAATGCGATATCTTCTTCGCCCACAGATGCTGAAACCAAAACACATTGGTCGGGCAGCATGGTTGTTGGGGCGCAGTAGAGATAATCGTCGGTAGTTGTCGTGGGATGAAGGTCCACACGTAACTCGTCGTACCACTCTTCCAGTATCACAGCTTCGATATTAGGTTCCTCGTTTTCTTCGTAGATTGTCGACAGACGGCCTTCACTCGGCGATGAAGCATCTGGGGTATCTGGTGGAGGCCTGTTTCCAAGCGAATCGCGTTCTCCAGACGTGGTGCTTGAGTGCTGATATTTGGCCAGGTCGTCGTGAAATCCTAAGGACGGGACATGTGAAGTCAAGCATTGGATTAGTCTGGAATGAGTGCTACCAGTGATTTGAGAAATGTTCAGGCCAGTGCCCACACACTCATAGTAGTGGAAGGCTGGGCTGATATCATTGTCGTAGTGGATCAGCGTAGACCGGGTGGCGTACTTTACTGCAGGTAGACTTGACACACGTTTGGCCAATCTAACTGCTACTACGTGTTCTACTCGGAAATAATTTCGCACGAGATACTGTAGTGCTAGATGCACGCGCGGGTGAAACTTGCTGTCGTCTGAAATATTGAGGTTTCCCTTGTAGTCTGGGATGTAGCCGAAGACTTTGGCAGGTTTCCCTGCGCCGAGGTGTGCCACATACGTAAGGACGGTTTGCATGGCCATATTATCCATGCCATGTTCCCGTGCGAGGAGACATTCAATGTATAGTGTGTGACGAGCATCAGGAGACATCACAATTACCTCACGAGATCCTGCCTTGACAACAATATGTCCTCTTTCAGGCACGTTACGGATCACAAGGAATGGGCCGTTCCAGCCTCCATGATCGTCCTTAGTGGCAGTGGGCCGATGGTAGTCGACCAGATCCCCTGCTGAGTAAAAGCGAACACCATCTGGAGCCGTTTTAGCCCGGAGAACACGATTTGTCTTGGCCACAGCAGTGGCTTGAGTTATGGCTTCTAGGCTAACTTCCCTCACACGGCGTTCCCGTTCATGGCCTGATGTCTCGGGCCCCTTGGGGAAGTCCAGGGTGTCGACGTCAGGAAGAAAGGGGGGCTGACGTGCAGTGTGTGCTTGGTATGGCGATACTCCGTTGTAAAACGTGAAGGCGTTGGTAACGAAGATGCCTTCAGCCAAAACTCTAGTGAATACAACAGGGATGTTGTGTCTATTCAGCTCTTCCTCAACCATGTGGAAGACGCCCCGTGAGAATGCTGTTTCGTGACTCAATTGAAGTCGCGTGTTGGCCAGGCGCTCGGATACGGAGTTCTGTGCCCTTATTGGCCATCATGGCCTTAGCGGCATCATTGTTCAGGGCGCCTTCTCCGTCTGAGTATAAGACTTTGAAGGGTCCATGGTAGGCAATCCAGAAGTAGTGGTAGGCGTCAAGTATAGCATCACGTTCTCTGTCGGAAATTTCTTGGCCTGCTGCCAGGCGAATACAACGATCCATAATGTGAAAGATGGTCCGTTTCTTGTAAAACATGAGATCCATTTCGCCTTCATCGAGCCAATTACCAGGAAGGCTCACCGAAGGTAATGTTGAGTTTCCTGGACGTCCCCACGCTCTGCATTCCCGACAGGTATCGCAAACTTCTTTGATCATATTCAGCCGAACGTTGTCCAGTCCCACTTTGTCGAGGATTAGCCTCATCTTGGGTTCCTTCGCGTGATGCCACCGCAGGTGCAATTTACGAAGTCCCTGTTTAACGACGTGAGTTTCATGACTACGGAGATTTTGCAGACTGCGTTGGATGTCGAATCTCGTCCAGTCGGGTAGTCGTGGAGCCCCCGAGCCGGTGGAGGCAAGAGGGTTCCTTGTAGCTCTCCGCAGTCGGTCTCCTTCGTCAACTGCATCTGGCGGTGGCGGTGCGCCTTGTAGGCGGCCACGACGGGCCGCTACCTGTGGCGCTTCGCTAGAGGACGCAGAAGGCGTGTTTCCACGCTCGGGGGCGTCTTGTAGCATGTCGTAACTGCTGGCACCAGATGTCGGA